CAATAATATTCAATGTTACACAATCAAAAAGACTCCAGCAAGCTTATTGACAAGATTTAAACAATCTCTAAAACATCTGACTGTGACATATAAAAAACAGAAACTCTACCAAGTTGTATTATCTCTCAATATATAAATAAACATAATTTTAATGAAATAATTATCAATGGAACTTCCTAGTCCAGTTAGACAACTAGACAAATTAGTATAAGCAATAATATTATCGTTCCTTTATAATTATACACAATTCAAACATGTCTTCCAAAGAGAGTTCTTAGTAGTGTGTGCGTTATTTTATATAATCATTTGGCCATAATTTAATTTGTTAGTTCTTGGAATTAAAAAATATAAATTTTGGTACTCGGATATTAAAAATACAATATCATGAAAACAAAGCCCAAGGACTAGGTTTACGCCTTGATGCACTCAATTTTATGGAGTGAATACAGTATTACAATATTCAAAATTCTCTCCCTGCTCTCTGCTTTTATGATGTCTACATGCTACAGTTTTACCTTATAATGTCTGATAAACAAGGATATAAATTGGTATGGCCTTAAGAAGAGAAGACTAAGTGTGGGGAGGGGGGCAGACTACGACTGTACTGTACTTACCTTACAGGCACACACAGCTCCGTGGCAGGAAGGCTGTATAGCCATGAAGATACACACACATCCAAAAGGAATGCAAAATCTCCTCCTACTAAAACAATTATATAATATCTTACACACTGTGTTACACAATATACAGGGTAAGTCAACTAGCTATGACATCTCACACGTTTGGGGACATGACACCGTCGAATCACAAGGGGAACATTTGTACTCGATGTGGTGTCGACTCCAATATTGGGATTCGGGTCCTCTCACGTGCATGCTAGGGGTGATCCGGTGCAAGCCTCATCACTAATATCATATTCAACAGCACAAAACAAAAGCTCTTCTTTAAACATGATATCATAAATTTGCTATCTTTAGATGTATGATTTAAAACTTTATTGGCAGCGATTCACGTGAGAATATAAAAAAATTTCTTAACACTATGCCTACCCGTAAAAAGTGGTATGACCCGCCATGGCCCTCTTGTTGCCAAATATAACCCAGTGCCACCACGTCACATATTTCTGCTTATGGACAGTGAGGATGGCAGGAGTAAACACACGCAGGTACCAAATATGAGACGAAGACGAATGCACGACATTGCTACAACCTTGTCGAATCATAAGTGCCGTTGTTATGACACTACCAATTCCTATACTGATAAAATAAACAATGGTCAAACTATATAGATGACGACAGTAAAATTAGCTCTCAATTCGTTGGGATGCACTTTCCAGTCCAGTGAAGTTTACTGCTTCTTAGCTTTGTTTCGAAGACCTTGACTTTTGGAAGCAGATGGAAGATATCAAGCCTTTAGGGACAGAAGGCATCTGAGTGTTTGTTAGGCCACACCAATTTAATTTGCTGGTTCTCGGATTTTTTCAGAAAAAATATGAAGTGACGGCAAAAAAAATTAAATAAAAACAGGTCTAGGCATCCTATTGTAGCCTTAAATGCTATGATAGGAGCCATGAAGTCAACACAAAAGGCTGGGTTATTATTTAAACAATGAATTTTGAACTTTTAATCAAACCACTGCATTGATACTGATAGATGGAAAAACTGCAACAACTAGGAAGAAAAGGACTTTCCTTAACTGTTGGGGGCAAAATATGACCATTTTTGAGTTGATTCAGAATCAGAATCTTTTTTCTTTGCAAATCAGAAAAAAATGAAGAAGCGAATCCGTGAACCAACAAATTAAATTAGTGTGGCCTAAGGGACAGAAGGCATCTGAGTGTTTGTTAAATGTGTTTTATCATGTGTCTGACCCAAGGATGACCTGCTACCATTGGAGACCATCTCTGTAATTCATGATGTGTACAATTGTATATCAGGAGTCATTTGTTACTGTATATGTGATATGGGACGATATGGGATATCGGAAAAGTCTACCATATCAACTGAATACTTTAATTCACTTTATGTTCACGGTAGCAAAATTTCATGGTCTGAGAAAAATGGACATGTTCACGGAACTATATATTCATGGTGGCGACAGGTGCAGGAAAAGAAAGTCCAGGAATTATTTGTTAACTGTAATGACAAGTTCACGGTACAGAAGTAACAGTGAAAACAGTGAACATAAGGCCACACCAATTTAATTTCTTGGTTAACGGATTCGCCTCTTCATTTTTTTCTGATTTGCAAATAAAAATAAAAATTCAGAATCAACTGCAAAATGCTCATATTTTGCCCTGAACAGTTGAAAACAGTCCTTTTCTTACTACCTTGTTACAGTCATTCCATCTATCAATGCAGTGCTACCATTAAAAGTTCAAAATTCATTGTTTAAATTTTGAACCAGCCTGGTGTGCTGACTTCATGGCTCCTATCGTACCATTTTGGGCCATAATAGGATGCCTAGGCCTGTTTTATTTTTTTTTTTTTCGCCCGCCCGCTCCATTATTTTTCTAGAAAAATCCGTTAACCAAGAAATTAAATTGGTGTGGCCTAACAGTACAGTGAAAAACTCAGGAGATACAGTAGTAGAAATGAATTGCCAGAGCTAAACAGTGAAGCAGCCATGGCATTTGATTTTTAAATTTCTTTAGGAAAATTGCATCTGTAAGAGTCTGCAAAAATGAGTCCGTTTTTCTGTTTCTAAATGCATGATTGTGATTTTTGTATATACTGTACAAGGAACATCTTTTATTTGATTGTGGCCACTTGGAATTTCAGGCTGGAATTGGTACACAGAGAATTAATGGCTTAGGACCACATTACAAACAGATGCTCTGTGGACACTGTGTCCTCACTATAGTGATAGGACCCTACTGTCAACATATCAGCTGTATCACTGGCTTACAAATAGACAACTGACTTCTCCAATATCATAACAATTGATGATGTTTGTTAGCTGTCAATCACAGCTATGCAAAATAATCTTCTGTCTCAGATACTATTGCTGAGTGCAGTAGAATTATATACTAGTACATGCTGGCATCTTTCCAGTATGATCTAATCTACTTATCAGAAGGTCCAAAACAAGGAACAGACAATGCGGGGATCAGACAGAGTATGGAACGGCCATTTCCATATTTGGGTGTATAGCTGTTACAAATATACATTTTACTCCCTTGGAAGAATAGTATTTTCTCAAGTTATAGATGTATTTACTAGGATAAGATTTTCAATAAAGGTAAAACTACTAAAAAAGGAAAATATTCCAACTGACTTTTAGTAGTTTTACTAGTGCTACTAAATCAAAGTTGTAATTAGTATAATCTATTCTAATTGAATCAATGATAAAATGTTGAAATGGAACTGTCACAAAGCCAAAACAGCAGCTAGGAGGCCAACATTTGACCTTGATCATCACCTTCCAAACACCTACCCACATACTAAATACCACGACAATCCATCCAGGCCTTCTTATGTTACGCTGACCACAATCATTCTGAAACACAGACACACACACACACACAGACGTACCAAAAACAAAACCTCCATGGAGGTAACAAGTGGCCAAATCACCACAGAAGAACTAAATCCAAGCAGATTAGGCCACACCAATTTAATTTCTTGGTTAACGGATTTTTCTAGAAAAATAATGGAGCGGGCGGGCGAAAAAAAAAATAAAAATAAAAACAGGCCTAGGTATCCTATTATGGCCCAAATGGTATGATAGGAGCCATGAAGTCAACACACCAGGCTGGTTCAAAATTTAAACAATGAATTTTGAACTTTTAATGATACCACTGCATTGAAAGATGGAATAACTGTAACAACTAGGAAGAAAAGGACTGTTTTCAACTGTTCAGGGCAAAATATTTTTACAGTTGATTCTGAATTTTTTTTTTGGCAAATCAGAAAAAAATGAAGCGGGTGAAGCCCTTAACCAAGAAGTTAAATTGGTGTGGCCTAAATCCAAGCAGATTACGCTGGTGAAAACCAGACAAGCCTCTGACCTTTTGGACAACCGAAGGCTTAGAGGTCATAGTCAAGACCAGTCTCCTTTCTCCACAAGGGCTAATTGTGTTGACTCCAAGTTGACCTTGGCAGTCTCACAATACGCAAGGAAAGAAAAACGCCTTCTAGAATCTTAAGAATGGAATTCACGTGGGGAAAAAACTCCACTGGGGAAAAGAATGCACAATCCTTCCTTTGTGTAGAGCTAAGTCTTCTACTCATAAGTTCTTGTAAATGTAGTAGAATAGTCCATCTTATATATGTGCTTGGACTTGGAGCATTCTCATAGCAAAAGGCAAAGCTCACTCACTAAATCTGTACATATACATGTATGCAGGGCTAGAAATTCATCTTTGTACAACCTGAAAAATTGGGTGCACAAAAATTTATTTGGGTGCACTATATTATAAGATAAAATAAGTAGAATGTCAGCAAAAACTAATTATGTTTCATTTCTAAAGAAAAATACTACAATACTGATACATGTACTTAGATGTCAGGAATATGATGTATAGTACTAGTAGTACTGCATTTTACATCTTTACATACATAAAGCTACGAAAATATTTGGGTGTTGGTGCACCCACAGAAACAAATTGGGTGCACAGCTCTAATTTTGGGTGCACTAATTTTATAAGGTGAACATGGATTTTGGTATTCTGTGACATAATGGTTATCATTTTCTAATATTTTTTTTCAATGTACAGCATGTATTTGCTCATTTTGCAGCTACTTTGTACAATTTACAGTATGGTCGAAAACTTTTTTTTGGAAGTGGGCGAAAATTCATGCGCTGGTAGATGTCATCCATATAATCAAATCAACATGGCCTAATGGTCAGAAAGAATATTTCAGGGAATTTTAACTTTCGCAGTCTTTTATGAAAAATTGACTGTCACTTAAGTGCTGTACACACCTGCACACACACACAGTCCAAGGCCATTAACATTTATTACCCTTCACACACATTACAGAATTCAACGTTCTTACCTCTTCGTAGTCCCTCATGGTACGGGGTCGGACCGGTGACATGCGCCCACTGCTCACGTTCCGCAACGCTGCACGGTAAGACATTACGCAAAGGTCAACAACCCCCAACGTCGCATCTACCCGTATCGCGTTTATAAGATACGATACCAGCCCAATTGAGTTCTCGCAGAGGACGAATGATATGAAGATGTTTTATTTAAGATCGTCTGCAACTAAACGTTTTTCGTCTCATTGGGACAGTCGTAAAACCTAAGCCACTGATGGTACACATTTGTTACGCCTGTACGTGACTAGCATAAGTATTGACCAAATCTAAGCGAAATTATTCTATCAGTTTAGTGCTGGCGGATTAGACTGTAGTAAAGTGGATTAAGGACTCTCCTACAGTGGATTTATGTTCTGAAGAAAAGAGATTAACTTCTAAGTAGCATTTGTGCAACTGGATTTGTTCTGGAGCACGGTATGGGCGAAAATGCATTTTGGTGCTATACTATAGTCTATACTATAACTTCTTCCACCATCATAACATTACTTATTTAGGCGCTATGCAAAATGTAACATTATAATCTATATTCTAACAAAAATTAGTTGAACAGACATATTGGCCAATTAATGATCATGCCTTGTGTCTGACACTTTTTGACGAGTGTTGTTCTGCCCCACCCATGACCTATCAACCTACTGTGTCTGGAAAAGCATGCATACAAACCCAAGTTGACAAACGCCACCAAAAACAATACTTCTATATGTATACCTAGAAGTAACAAACTTGAATTCGAAGGGCAGAAAAAACCTAGACCTAACAAAACTAGAAAATTTCTAACCATTTTGTTACTACCAAGTACAGAAGAACTCTTTTGGCTAGCCTCCATAGCATGCCAAAAACTGGGCGTTTTGGGGGTCTTCAGGGTCTTTGGGTAGCCTCCTTCGCAGTCTTGTTGGGCGTGGGCGTAATTTTTTCTCTGAGCGACGCGAGTAATATGCCGCCGCGAGGGACGATTTGCTGCCGAGGGACTTTTGCCACGGAGAGAAGGTTTCCGCGCTCCAACAAGACTGCTTCCATTCGGCGAGTAGAAAGGGCTATCAAAAAACACTTAGGAGCGATTGGCATGGATGTGTGAACTTCCCGCAATAAACGCCACCAGTGCAGGGTGGTGTTCACGCCCCGTTGCTCGACAAGCCAAAACTTAAACTTTCTAGCGGTCGCCGATCAACCCGTCGGTAGAACGCCAACCATTCCCGAAAACCGAGCCCTATCCACTCAACAAAATCCCGGAGACATTGCTGCTACGAAAAACAACTTTGAAAAGATCACTACCACAGGAACCCGCAAGCTAAACTGTGATATTGCTGGGAGACGTGGACAGATAAACAAAGTGCCGCCATGTTGTTTGGTGGCGGGTTGAGTAACGCACCGCTCCGCAGCAAGTTGCGTAATAGAAAGAATTGCACATTTCACCAGCAAAAATAGTATTGCAAATTGTCTTGGTTTGTTTGCATGGGACGCTTAAATATGCACAGCAATGCCTTTGTTGTAACATTACCAATGTTCACTCTTTCTCTGTTGGAACCTTCGACTATAACGTAACGCAAGCTAATAAAACCAACCGTTGACAAAGGCGAGCGCGTGTCATGCGTATCTGTGAATTACCCTTGCGCGGACATGTGAATTGGACCTGCGCGAACATGTGAATTGGACCTGCACGAACATGTTAATAGCCTCTATGAAAGGCTGGCTTAATCCGAGGTCCTTTCTACTCGCCGAATGGAAGCAGTCTTGTTGGAGCGCGGAAACCTTCTCTCCGTGGCAAAAGTCCCTCGGCAGCAAATCGTCCCTCGCGGCGGCATATTACTCGCGTCGCTCAGAGAAAAAATTACGCCCACGCCCAACAAGACTGCGAAGGAGGCTAGTCTTTGGGAGCTTTTATGTGCTATTTTCTGATTGCATATAGACAACATAGCCGGCCTGGTTGAATTACCCCCGCAGGCTTAGATTGATCAGAAAACAGCCAAAGACCACCAAACCCCCAGTTCTATAAGCCTGCTACGGAGGCTATGTTTTGGCTGGGTTAAGAAATATGTAGCCTTCACTTACATTGCTGCTGACTGCCATCCATGGTGTTGTCTGGGAGGCTGGTCAGATTTGTGCTGTAACACAGATTACATCAACCATTAACAACAAGGTTACAACAACCATTAACAACACGGATTACACCAACCGAGTCATTAACACATTAACGCACAGTTACTGCGCCATACCCACTGCAATTATCAACCTGTAAAAAAGCAGCCAATATAGTCGGGATGGTCTCGAATGTGTGCTGAATTTCGGGTGTAAAAGATGAAGTCACAATATCGCGCACGCAGAGAAGCAATCATATAGATAGATGTAATCATATCAGGAAATACACATGTACAGATAGAACCAAGGCCCGCGATTCATCAAGGAAAACATGAACTGGTACTGGAAGTAATAACTTGCTCCGTCACATTCATTGTAGGTCGTTACGTATGATTTTGGTGCCACAGAATTTTCAGGCCACGCTGTGACAGAACCAACCGCAGACAAGGATTCTAACTTAACAGACTGTTCTATAAGAAAAACAGCTGAATTTTGAACTGAACATCCTATGAATGCCCTGGTTTTGGATTGTACAACAGGGTTTTTAGCTAGGGGGTGTCCAGGCCAGGGTGTCTTTTGGACACCCTGTACTGAAAATAATAAGAAATTGGATGCCCTACTTTTTGGTAGGACACCCTAAAGACTCCCTTTTTATTTTTTCTACTCCCAAGCCCTGCCATGCACACATGCCTCCCTTTAGCCTTACTATAGATACAAAAATAATGGTTAACTGAAGGAAAAAAACTCAAATTCCTCATAAATAGGACCTCAAAATGCACAAAGTAGTGTTTGAGAGCATTTATGAATTTAAAAAAAGCCCCCCTAAAAAGCTTGTGCACCGTGCGTCATACAATAAAAAAATGGACACCCAACAAAAAAATCCTAGCTAAAAGTACAACGTTGTACAAGTGTTTTACAACGATCACACGACATACGAGACTGCGCCTTAATAAAACTTGGATACATTCATCTGAAAAAAGCAGTTTAGTCAATCATGATACAGTACATGTACATTGTCATAAAGGCACTGAATATGTACGAACAAAAGTGCAACATTACAAACGGTCACAAATGCACAACAGTTGTACATGACAAAAAGATGAACGCAAACTTGTTCCAAAAAATCGTATACAAGCCTCCGGACTTACAAGTGGCAGTCTAAATTGCACCGCGGTTTTGTCAACACTGGGCCAATGGATCAACGTGTATCGCTCAAAACAAAGGGAACACGGAATGAAGTCAACAGATGTAGGGGATCTCACCAAATGCCCTCAAGGTAGATGTTATCACTTAGATTATAACATATTGCCTCTTGGAATATTACTATTAGGCCACACCAATTTGATTTCTTGGTTAACGGATTTTTGAAGAAAAATAATGGAGCGGAAAAAAAAATGAAAATAAAAACAGGCCTAGGCATCCTACTATGGCCCATAATGGTACGATAGGAGCCATGAAGTCAACACACCAGACTGGTTCAAAATTTAAACAATGAATTTTGAACTTTTAATGATACCACTGCATTGAAAGATGGAATAACTGTAACAACTAGGAAGAAAAGGACTGTTTTCAACTGTTCAGGGCAAAATATGAGCATTTTGCACTTGATTCTGAACTTTTATTTTTATTTGCAAATCAGAAAAAAATGAAGCGGGCGAATCCGTTAACCAAAAAATTAAATTGGTGTGGCCTTAGGCTGGGATTGGTTAAAAAGTCCAGTAAAAAAAGGGATGACACATTTTTATGACTAATTCTGACCAAATCTACCACCTTTTTTCCTCAGGATACGATTAGAAAGTGAATCACAGACCGTGACTGAAGGTAAAGAAACACACATAAAGGCACTTGAATTTCAAATCGTGTGCAACACCCATAATCAAATCACCATAACTAAAATACAGTCAAACCTGTATCCAACAACCACTCAAGGGACCAAGGAAAAATGGTTGTTGACTGGGAGTGGTTGGATGGTCCAGTTGGGGGGGGGGGGGGTGTGGTTCTGGTTGGTATCTTGGCAGGGTAGGCTCTTACTTACAAATAATAAGCAAAAAAGAAAATACAGAGTACAATTTAATGGTGAGATTTTATTGACATCACACACATGACTTTGAAGTCAAAGTGATTACACAATTTCTCAGTTTAGTCTTCTAAATTTACAATCATGTGACTGATGCAAATTATACTTCATATCGTAGAATTTGAGGCAAAAAAGTGGAAAATAGCAGCAAGAAGTATGACAAAATACATCATGTGTACTTGGCTATCTCTAGTCACTACTAAGTACTGTTCGATTATGTTTTCATCAATTGATACAACAACTGTTCTATTACGAAACCGGGTTCGAAATTTAATTTTACAAGTCCCTAAATATAATGCAACGAAAATAATAAAGTGAAACGTTCTGCCTTTGAGTCTTTTTCCCTTTCTGCTTTTTCCTTTCTGCTTTCCCTTTCTCCATTGTTTTGGGCCGGCCAAGGACATACCGACGCCGCGTTGATATTTTCTTGCCACAATTACAGGTTCTGTGTCGGCAACTTTTGCAGACTACTCAATACTGGCGCAACATTACAGCAGTCAACTTAATGTGACTTCAAAAATTCCTAAAAGGTCATTTTGGGCTAAGAAATTTGACGGAAAACTTCGTTCGCGATCACAAAATGGAGAACAAAGATGGCGCTGGCTTGGAAAACAACAACAACAACCAATCCACTGTGAAGGGGAACAATGAACATGCAGCAAAAAATACATAACGAAATTTCAAGTTTATAAAGGCGTTTGTAAGCAATTATAACTCTAGATGGATATAAAATGTAGTTAATTCATATTTGATTTGCGTGCGCTGACCGCACGTGTCAAAAATAAATTGAGTAAAGTAATCAGCAACCCTTTAGAAATGGAACCTTCCGATGACCCGCGGGGTGACCCAAGCGCGGCCGCCATCTTGAAACAGAAGTGCCGAGGAAAAAACACTTCTAAGCATAAAAAACGCTGCTTTTCAGGGAATTCCACGACCATACAACGAATTCAAAGAATGGTTTGGGGAAAATATCTGTGTGTATGTGATTTTATGGTGTGTTTGACGCGATTTGGGTCTTCAATCCGCCGGAACTAGGCGCCGGCAGTGTGTCGAGATCAGCGTGGTTTTCGCGCGCCGTCAAAACAAGAAACAAAACGCCCGCTAAATAAAACCCAGGACAACATTTTAGATTCCAGCGATTGTGTTTTCTATAGAAATATTTGTGGATATGCAGAATATTCCCATGTTTTAACCGTATGCTTTCTCAAATTACAATGTGTCATTCTTGTCGCAAGCGCGGTACGTGTGTGTGCAGACGGCGTGAGAATCGGGTCCGCTAGATTTTTTGTCGGTCAGTGCACAGCATGCAGCACGATCTAATCTCGATTTGTTTTCGAAATCATATTAGTAAAACTATATTTGTACAATTATCAGTTTCTTTTATTGAAGCATAATATTACTCTGGTCGTGTCGTTCCAAACTCCACATGTGCGTTGTGCCGACGCACCAAGATCTAGATCGCTTGTCCTTATGCCCTCATCTGGTTGTTGAGTAGGGTGTCCGTGCCCCGTGGGGACCACAAGAAAGTGGCCGCTGGTTGCGTTGTACAGTTGGTTGCCTGGAAGGGGGTCCTTACTATGTAAAATGGGACGGGACTGTTTTAATGTGGTTGCTGATAACAGTTGGTTGCCCTAAACAGTTGGTTGGACGGACAGGTTTGACTGTATTAACAAAAGGTTTTTTTGACATGTTTTAAATCAAACGTGCAACATGAAAAGAAAAATGTAAATTTTAGGAAATAATATCCTTTTCAAAGTCTTGTGTTACAGGTAATATATGTATATTACTTACACCATACAGTTTAGGGCTAGGAAAATTAATGTTGTGTTTCCAGTTTCGTGAAGTTTAATTTTTTTTTTGATTTTGTCTAAGAAGATCCAACAAAGTTTAAAAATGAATCAGGACTAGTAATGTCTCAAGAGTTTTCTTGTGGATATTTTACACAATTTATTGAAAAAAAATGCTTCTGAAAATGTGTTAAACATTATTTCAGAATCCGTACGGTTTGAAATTTTAGATGTCATATCAAAAATTTTATTTAAAAAAAAAAGGGGGCCATATGGGTCCGCATTTTTTTTGAGAGAATAAGAAACACAACATTATTTTTCTTTGGCCATAGCCTAAAGGCCTATGATCTCACCATTTGTGATTAAAAGTACCAAACTGCCCTGGAGTGATAAACCAAATATTCCCAACTGACTAAAAAAAAAGTTCTGTCAACACAAAGACTTTGCGGTATGATTCAGTCACTTTTAAAAAGAAGAAATAATTGCCCCTTGGTGAGATCACTTGTTAAGAGTGTTCTGTGGTCAAAAGATAAGAGCATTTAGTACGCTTTGGGAGATCCCACGGGATGGGAGGGGGGCTAATTTGGAAGTATAAATAAGGTTTTAGATGTGTTTGAAGGTGTGAGTGATGTGAAAGGGTCAGGTATTGATGGAAAAGGTGAAGCTTACATGTGTATCTCCGGAGTACAGGTCACTGGGCAGTGTGACTCAGACTAGAAGAAAGCTTTTGAATTTTGAACGGTATAAATGTACAGAAACTTTACAGAACTTTCATGTTGTTTCTTCTGAACAGAATCAAACTTGCAGATCCATATACAAATTTTATTGTGAATCAAGAAACTTTCGTTGCAATGATTTTATTTCAAGGATGGAAAGGGAGGTCTTTACTGTGTTGAAACAATTCTATGGTACAGTACATTACAAGGAAGGCATATTCGCAGTGTCATAGAAAATATAATACCTGCACCAGACAAATTTAATCTTAAAAGTTAAAGTTTAGATCATACTGTAAACTGTTCAGAAACCATTGCCATTATTTCTTTTATACTCCATAGGTGGTGACAATCAATGCAGCAAATAAAAATCAATATACAAATACAGTACATGGACTGGTGCAGGTAGACTAACCCGCATGTACAAATGTTCACAATGTGGCATTGTC